CTCTTGTACATTATTTTATTTTTACTATTAAGTATTATTTTAGATTGATAAGTCTTCTTTCTGCTTGCAGTTTGATTTTACTTCTTTAGAATTTCTCATTGTGAATATTTCATTTTGGTGGAATTTTTCTAACTATAGTGTCTATTTTATGTATTTAGTTTGAATTTCCTCTAGTTTCTTCTTCTCATCTCCATTTCGTCTTCCGGTACTGATTTTGAAGTTCCTGATTCCTGAAAAATCCACCTAAGTCTCTGCTTTCAGTTTGATTTTAGTTCTTTAGAATTTCTCCACGTGAATATTTTATTTTGGTGGAATTTTTCTAACTATAATGTCTATTTAATGTATTTAGTTTGAATTTTCTCTAGTCTATTATTCTCATCTCCATTTCACCTTCCTAGTATCGATTTTGGAGTCCCTGATTCCTGCACATTTCACCTGAGTCTTTCTGCTTTCGGTTTGATTTTACTTCTTCAGAATTTCCCCACGTGAATATTTATTTTTAGTGGAATTTCGTTAACTATAATGTCTATTTAATGTATTTAGTTTAAATTTCTTCTAGTTCGTTCTTCTCATCTTCATTTCGTCTTCCAATATCCATTTTGAAGTTCCTAAGTCTTTCAATAAGTAATAAAATTCTTTCGCTGTTATTTATCCCTTTAAAATCCTATTTTTACCTGTTCTTTCTTTGCACCTTTCTTAACCATAATTTTGGATTTCTAAGCTTCTTTCTACTTCTTAAATTCTGAAAAATCTCATCAATTGTTTATGCGTTTTTGTTAATGATAACCATAACATTCACTTTATAGGATGAACATTGAACATATACACTGGATGTGGTCTTCGGTAGATGTATTTTCTTACCTTTTGTTATTGACATTTTTTTATCTACACCTTTGGATCAGCAAAACAGGTTCGTTAAATGGTTATTGATCCAGACAGACATCTCATGATGATCTCGTTTTTCCATTTGAACTACGGAATCCTAAAGAGCACTCAGAAGTTTATGGGTATAAGTACCTTCAAGTTTCCAAGTGAAACGGGTGAAAACTGCTGCAAGATGATTCGAAAGTAAAGTAAAATATGAAACTGAAGCATTTGTTCGAGGAGTAAGTCAAGCCTTCGAAATGTCCGGAAAAGTAAATTAAATAACTTATCCTAACATCACGACGTTATCCTAATAATAATGTATCAAGTCTATGTACCTCCACATACACGTATATAGGTACGAGAGCTTGCCGCCGTCTAGTGGTGTGGCACACCCTTGAGTGAATTTTGTAAAGTGCTTTTTAAAAATTGAATAATCTACGTACCTCCGCCATTTCATGAGGTTACAAGTGACCCCGTGGCTTGGCACGGAAGTTCGGAAGATTTTAAACTGTGTGCTGCGCTATGTACATATTACGTGTTCGCTTTAGAGAAAATAACCTGAAGCCACTTCCATCCACTGGCTTTAGAATGTCACCTAGTTACTTACGTGTAGCAGCATGAAATGCTGTTCAACGTCATTTTTAACCGTCTTTAGAAAAAGTTCTCAATTCAACCCTATTTTTGTGAATAGGGTACGTTAAGCGAATTTTCGCCGATTGTGAACCGATTTTAATAATTATTTTCTATTGAATAGCCTATATTTCAAGGGAGGTCCCATTTAAATTTAAAGAAAATATTCCACCTCCAAGGATGCATTTTAAATTTTTTAATTCAAGTTAAAATGTTAAGTATACTCATAAATGTAGGAATGAGTTACAAAGATAGAACATTGATACTTAGTTTGTATAAAGAGTAACAAGCAGTTATAGGGATGGGACTGCAATGTGGAGAAGTAAATATTAGGGAGCAAAGACCATACAACTGTAGGGATAGATATACAGGGGCAAAAGATTAGTATGCTTAGATTTGCAGATGATATAGCAGTATTAGCATCTAACAAGGAGGAGCTAGAGATAGAGAAGTGGTCGATTTTAGGTATCTAGGAAGTCAGATAAGTCAGGACGGAAGGAGTAGTAGGGATATAAAGCAGAAGATAGAGCAATAAAAAGAAGTCACTTCTATGCTCGCGAACGGTTAATTTAGAAATTCGAAAAAGATTGTTAATGGTGTATTGACCGCGGCGCTGTAGGGGTGTGAAACATGGACGGTGGGCGTTGCGGAAATAAATAGGTTAGAAGTGTTCGAAATGTGGTGTTACAGGCGAATGATAAAGATACCGTCGATAGAGAGGATTAGATATGAAGAGGTATTAGAAAGAACAGGAGAACAGTGGACTCTATGGAAGTTAATAAAAAATAGGCGAGATGGGTTGTTAGGATAACTTCTCAAGCATGAAGGTCTAGTTAGAGACATGTTAGAGACAGCAACGGGAGTTAGAAGGGGTAGAACTAGGCCAAGATTAGATTACTGTTCGCAAATAGTTAAGGATGTGGAATTTCCTAGTTTTAGGCAAATGCGAAGATTAGCTTAGGACAGGAAGGAGTAGAGGTGCGTGTCGTATCAACTGACGACCTTATGATGACGAAGTGCTCCAGTTCGTTATGGTTCAAGCCACCGTGTGTCATCCGAAGTGCCTTCATTCAGCCATAAATTCTGGCGTTGTCCACATCTGTTCATGGTTATAAGGCACCAAATTACTTGTAAACTCAATTGTCTTCAAGAGAAGCCACCTAGCTACCAAAACAAAAGACTTGCGATTAGGAAAATGGGGACGAATTGTAGCAAACATATTTTTCAACAAATAAGTATGAGTAATATATTTATAATTGTTCTTGGTATTTACAGACCGAATTTAAACCTTTCAAGTTGATTTTTGTAAAGGTCTTCATTTAACAAGTAAATTGTTTTCGTGCAGTAAATCAAAAGGGCGTTCATTGTTGAAGTTACAACTTTTCGTAGCGGAAAAGGAACAAAATTTTTGCGGTTCCGGTCCGCCCTGCCAGTTGGCGTAATGTAACGTGTTTTCAGCTCAGCTTTAGGCGACGACTCTTGTACATAAATAATTCCGAGGCGAGAGGGAGCTGCTGTGAAGTGCTAGCTGCCAGCCAGCCGCTAAACAAATGGCTTCTAAAATGGATATTTCCGGACGAATGCTTGGAAACTATGTGAAAAGGGCGCTTGACTGAGGAAAACTTCGACCTGGATTAACGTCAATTGCGAGACGGTTAAGAAAAATGTCGTGTTCTGCATGCACCCACGAACGATACTTAAACTATTGATGTTATATTATACATCTATTCAACGAATGCGTCATTACTCTACTCTATCGCGTCTGAAGAGTGATTCTTAAGAAGATCCTTTTCATCCTATTGAATGCAAAATGTCTCCATTATGGCATGAGAGTTGATCCCGTTCTGTTTTATGTTTTATTTTACGCTCCTATGATTGATTTTAGAGGCCAGTATTATTAAAAGAATTTAGAATAGTTAGATGTTGGGTTAGGCTAAATTGGTACAGCATTTGTTTACTTACTCATCGTTAAATTTTTTTAATTGTTTTACTCATCGTCATCATCAGAAGGTCTTCAATCTTAAGACTGGTTGGACATCCACCTTAACTTCTTCCTATCCTGAGCAAGTCGTCGCATTTCCCATTTAATTATTTGTGAACAGTAATCTAATCTATGTGTACTTGGCTCTTAAATCTTGTTTCTGATTCTAATATATCTCTAACTAGTCCTTCATGCCTGCGAAGGCGTTCTACTAACATATCTCGTCTATTTCTTATTGACTTCTATAGCGCTCTCTTGTACTATTTCCAATCCTTCCTCACTTTTAACCTTCTCTATCCACGGATTCCTCATCACTCGCCTGCAACACCACATTTCAAATTGCAATTCCAAACACAAGAGATTGGATCTCAGCAAAATATCCTATCTCCAATCCAAAGGTCAGAGAAACGATCTCCTGGAAATATATGAGGTTAAAGAATCCTTCAATCTTAATAAAAAAAAAACACGAATGAACAACATTTTATTAGCATTCCATGTATTAACAAAGCATTTAAAAATTTATCCACTTTGAGTAAAATTGGACGTTGTACACTATGTTATGTTGGATGTTCCATACATATGGTCATCCTTTTTCATATGAGGTGTACCATTTGCCCCATTTTCTACGTCAGCAACTCAGGTGGCACTGAGTCAGTCGGTAGAGGTAGTTAAGAATCTCATGAACCTTTGCCGTGGGCTGTGCAATGGTAAAGCTCTGCTCGTTAAACGATTTCTACATTTGTACCTTTTAAAAATATTGACCTTTAGTATTTAGAGTTGATCTGGACGAGCTCCATCTCAGGTTGTATGGTGAGACACGTGGTTAACTGTTTAGTCAATGTTTTCGTAACGTACAGCAACGCTCAATGTTCTCTATTCTGCGTCCAATTTAACTATGTTACATGAACCCGAAATATTGTATGTTCGTGGATTTAACTTCTAAGACTAATAACGACAAAAAACTATTTATTTACACTAATTATTAAAGAACTTGAAAACACTATTAAACTATTACTAAACTTAGGTTATGAATTATTCTATTTATTTACATTACTGTTGATATATCACTATTCACTGCGCTATTTATTTCATTGCTATCTCTTTCAATTTATTTCTGGATTCACTTCTGCAACGGTCAATTTACTTCTTCCCTTTTCCCTAAATACTCTTTTGTTTACTTTCGAGAACCTTCTAGAAACGTCCGGATAGTTTATTTTTTCTTTGAACTGTTTAACTGCTTTCCCAGAACGCAGGTACGACACACACATTTACAAATACGGCGTACATGAAGAAAGGCGCCCGCGGCTAGTCGGCGAATCGATAAGCCATTCACGCACACGTGTGCCCGATCGCACACAATATTTACATACTATGCTACACATAGGGCGTGAAGTATGCCTCATGTTAAACGTTGCTTCTTATCTGTTAGTTTTAAGAATTTGAAGTTTTTTATTGAAGTTATACATCTTACATTTATATTTGTTTTTCTTATTCTATATTCGATTCGTTTTTGGAACAGGTCGGCTGGATGAAGGCAGATGACCAGACCATCCTAAGCCTAGACTCTAGAGTAATAACTCACAATCCTAGAATTAGTGTGTCCCACGACGAAAAGCTTCATACGTGGCAGCTACGAATACGACAACTTAAAGACTCAGATGCGGGGTGTTACATGTGCCAAATTAATACAAATTCGATGAAGAAGCGATTAGGCTGCATAGATGTACAGGGTAAGTCGTTACACAAATATTTCCTTTTAGCTTACAACGATATTTCTCGGAGCATTGACGTATACTTTGCATTTGAGATAACCCCTTAGGAGAAGGTCCATGGGGATTAAATCGGGTGATCGCAGAGGCCATGCGGTACCACCAAAGTACCTTTAAGTAATTTATTAGCGACGGTAAATTATCTGACATTTAGTTACTAAGCATATGAGGTAAGAGCCAAAAGTTTCCGAAATATTTTATTGAAAATTTCAAAGATGTATACGTATTCCACTGCTCCTGCAAAGCTTGGAATACTCATTGGAAACCTTCTTAAGTAAAAATATTCAGGACGGCTTGTGATTGCACTTGGATCCCCCGAATTGATGCAAATTTTCTCTTCATGATATGTCGTTTCAAGTGCGAAAAAAGAACGATCTTCTCAATGCGGTTCCGCCAAAACTGCCGCGATATGCGACAGCGCGTTATCGTAATACAGCCTCCACAGTTAAGGTCCAAGTGCATGTCTTTTTTCCGGATGCTTGCGGTACAGATTTTCTCTCAATCACCTGAAAATATCGCAGTAGAATTGTACATTAACGGTTTGACCTTATGTCTTGAATTCTCTGTGATTCATGAACTGAGATTTGCTCGTCTTTTAAAACGTTTATACTATATGAAACGCTGGGAATAACCCACAACTATTACAGAAAACAGTTTGTCATATTTGATGCGCTTCTGTGACACTTTTTCCCATTTCGTCACAAAATTTAATGCACACACGTTGTGCTACTAAAACGAAAACTTCTGCCATCTTGAATTTCGTTGAAAGTACATGTAATGTTACAAACGACTGTAGGTACTTAACAGAACTGCACAGTACATCCGTCTAACGCTACGCTTTACACTGCCTCGGTACATTTGGAGCATACAGCGTGTAGTGGCCGGTCGTGGTACTACAACTCGTTTGCGCGCCACGTTTAATTTCAAGACACAGTAGAGAACGTCTGGAGGAATTTGAGCCTCACTAATTGAGAGTTCATCGATATTTAATAAAGCCCATTTTAATATGAACTTATTAAACGTAGTTATTTGCAAGATAAGGTACATGTAAAGTAAGTTCCAGTGTTCGAAATCGAAATTCACGTTTGATGGTATAGACAAAATAATGTTCAAGAAGAAATATTAGAAAAGTGTGAAAAAATGTACACATATTCTTTCCAGAGTAATAACATGTGACATCTTTATATTTTTTAAGTCGTTAGAGAAATTGTTGTGATATAAATAACAGAAAGTGCATTGAATATCAAGAGCAACAATTTCAAATGTAAAGATGAAATTCATTGAACAGGCTGATTGAAATTTTCCTTCAATATTGAATCTATACCATTTTAATCCTTTGTCACAGAGTCTTTTCACTTTGAGTCGGTATATCGCATCGTTTCCAGCACTGCTAGCAAGAAACTTCCTCTAAGTGATATCCTCTACTGCAAGATGGTGTCCTATTGAAATTTTCCAAGTGACCTTTCCAAACAAAAGAAATTTGGATAGAATAAGATGAGAGGGTTCCGTCTCGTATCCTTAGATGTTTCTACTCGAAACTTTACCCCGTATTGTTGCTCCAGATCGCCTTTTGAGCTTCACAGATCCATCCATTATTCATCTCGCTTATTCTTTTATCGCATGTCGCCGACAAAATTAGTTGGGGGTTTTGAAGTCTTGTTTTTGTTATTGGTCAGATGTCAAATGGAGTTAAAGATTATTTGTTTCTAGGTCAAATATATATGAAGTACGTCAAATATATACCTACCAAGTCGGTACCTAATATAAAGGATTACTATTTACTGGACGTTATGCATTTTTCACAAATACAGTGAAAAGCAATGGAATAATTTTTAAAATTGCTTGAACGTGAATTAGCAGAGCACAATTGTTTTTCAATCTAGTATTTAATTATTAATTGGAATAATGCTAACGTATTACAAGTGAGTATCGTCCAATTCTATAAATGAAGCAACCACGTTATGGTAATGAACTACATACGGCGCATGTATAAACGTAAACGACTTTGGGTCATACTTATCTAAAAATGGTGAAGATATAAGTTGACATAACGCAGGCTTGCTCAGGTGATATAACTTGCAGGTATATGTATTTATATCTATGAATACAATACCGAGCGGCATGGACTAGAGGTCTAGACCATTGCTTAGCATTCGGGAGGACGCCGGTTCGATTCCGGGTCCGTCTGCCTTGATCCAATTTTTTCTGTGGTTTCCTTGGATCACTTAGGCAAATGCTGGGGCAGTAATATTCCACAGATAATCTTTCATTCTCTTCTATCTTCATTTCGTCCGTTTCATCTTTCTCACCCGATCTACCACCCACCCATTCCCACAATTCCTGAAAGGCGTTTGGGAAGGGCCTTCCGCCCTACCTTCCGGCGTAGACCGGAGGAACTGCCTGCCCACCAACATTACTGGCTGGTGGGAATGAAATACCCAAATGTTGTTTTTTTAGTACGATTATCGCTACATGCCATATTACCACCACACACCATCTTCATAAGGCCTTCAAGCCGAAAACTGATGGGATGTGCACCTCCACTTTTTCTTATCTTGGACTAGTCATCACATTTCTAGAAAACTAGAGCAGTCTAAATCATAAACCATTTTCAACAAATATTTTCATTTAGACCTACTTCTTCCCATCGTTAACTCCTCTTTCTACATCTAGTATATCTTATAACTACTCCTCCATGTCTGAGAAGATATAATATCAACCTATTTCCTATTGATTCCCATAACGCTCCATGTTCTCATCAAGCGGCACGTCCTAGAGGTTTCGACTGTTGTTCAACATCCAGGAGAACGCCAGATCGATTCTGGGTGCGTTTGTCCTGGTCCAAGTTTCCTGTGGTTACCTTGGATCACTTGGGTATTATTCCACAGATAATCTTTCACTCTTTTGTGTCATCATATCGTCCGTCTCATCATTCTTGCCTCTACCACCACCCATCCATTGAATGAATGAAACACCCAAAATTTTTTTTTTAGTTTCCCTGTTCTTGTACTCTTTCTAATACCTCCTCATTTCTATCCTTTTTGCATCTGTGATATTTATAGCATTTTCCTTTAAAACCGCATCTCAAACACCCATGACTCCTTTTCTTCAGTGTCCACCATCCACGTTCCACATGCATACAGAGCAATATTTCAAACATACACTTTTAATAATCTTTGTTTGTGATTTCTTTTTGTTCGTTTTATATTTTCAGCGCTTTTTCCATCCTGAGTTATCTGACTCTATAAATATCGAAACTGATTTTAACATCCCATAGGTGTCACGTTTGTTAAGCCTTTGTCAATATCGTTTTCAACTACTATCCATAAAATCTTCTGAGTTTCCCTATTTGTTATAAATCCACGACCTACACTATTGTTTTTTGTGACGAATATGAAAGTGAACAGCATTACTTAAGTCTTTCTCTTTATTGTTCAGTTTCCTTTTAGAGAGTTTGTCCGTTTATTGAATTGATCTGTTTTATGTTTTTACTGAAACCATTCATTTCTCTGGAAGATGAGTAATATTTCATTTTTCTTTGTGAAAAATATACGAATGCACTTATCTTTCATCCACTTTACTTTTAGGAAAATTGAGTTTTTCAACTTCTTATTTAAAAATGATTAAAATGCATATCACTGCAATGGAGAGTTATGCTTTATGTTATCTGCAGAAGTACGCATCCAATTAACTTAGTGGTTTCTGAAGCGTAGTTTTGTCAGTGAATATTTTCAAACAACTTCAAATGAAAGAGGTTTATGCTTTCGCGATCTTCTCAAAAACAACTCAAAATAGAGTACAAATTCTGGATAATGAAACCTTTTAATACGAAAATATGCCTGTTATGTTTACACTGCTTGGGTTTAGAATGGTTTGCTTTATCCATATTGTAAAGAAAATAAAAAGAAGTTTCGTTCTTTGAGATATCTTGTGTGAATTTTATTCGTTATTTGAACGAAAATTTTGACATTTTGACAAGATTTAAGTTGCAGTTGATGTAGATTCTCAAAATCTTTATTTATTCACTGATTGCTGGATTTTGTAGCTAGCCCCTGGTATTACTTTCTGCTTCATTTTTTCCGTCTTTTTTCGCATTCAGTACTTTATTTTATATTTTTGAGGTTAATTTCCTATGAAATAGCCGTAGTAGCTGTTGTAAGTTACCGTAAGTACCTGTGTGCCACTCTGATCACTGTACCTATTCTAGTTGCTCCACAGTTGATGAAAAAAAAATTTTGGGTGTTTCACTGATCGATAATAGGGCACAAGACTCTCATTAAACCCCCTTTAGTAATCGTGGAAATAGGTGGTAGTTGGAGTGATAAATATGAAATGGACGAAATGAAGGCTTAGGAGAGTGGAACATTGTCTGTGGAATATTACTGTTCCAGAATTTGCCCAAGTGATCCAAGCTTGAATCAGGGCAGACGGATTTGGAATCGAGCCAGTGTCCTCCAGAATGCTAAGCGATGGTATAGACCTTTAGGTCATGTTGTTCAACACAGTTGCTGTCTTAAAACTCTTTTATGTAGGCACCTAAAATAACTACAACCACCCCCCTTCGCTGATTCTAATCCTTTTCATCCCTTCTGAGGTTGACGGTTTTAGAATACCGAAATATTTGCTTGATCAATTATATCAAAGAGCATTTAGACCAGGTTTCATGTAAATCTGACCGCAGATAAAAATATTCCATTCAAACTTTAGGAGTTCAATTTTAAAATATCCTTTCATATTGTTTGTATACGTCATAAAGGAAACTTCTGTGAATAATTTTATGAATTGGTGAGGCAGGATATTTATTTTTATACATGTATAGATCACTAATCGTTTTTTTTGGAAAAGTCGGTTCAATATTAGGAGTCCATCGGGGTCTTTGATTTTGACACCCAAGGACCCCCGGTCAAGAGAAAAAATACATTAATTGATTGATCCCTCTGAGAGGTAACGTCAAACCACTT